TCATAAACACCTAGTCATGCAAATAATAAAAAGAAAGCATCAAATCATTCAATTTCACTTCTTATTCAAAATCAAGTTTCTGCCTTTCTGCCTCCTCCATTTCATTTGGAGGAAAACAATGATCATATCAAGCATGATGGAACACTAAACAAATGAACAGTTATGACCACGAGCAAGAACACAGCAATACCTCGAACGATAAGAGATTAAATGCGAGAATGCAACGACGGAGAAACAATCCCAGATTGCTATTTGGGTCCAAAATAACTTGATTATCTTCCATAACAACTGAATCCAATCCTCCAAGTATCCCTGATACCACAACACGAAAACTTCCAACTAATTTAACACAAACACATAAAACCCAACAAAAAGAATTAAGCAAAAAGGTATTAAAAAGGACCAGAAACTAACCTCTCATTTCAGTAAAGAAGCTAAATAAATCATCCGGCGCTGATAAAGATGATAACCTGCTTGTCAAATGATCTATCAACCAGTGCCCCAATGACCCACTGATTTCCTTCAATTGATTCAACAACTCCTCTAGCTTTGGCTCCAATATATCATCATAAGACTGCAACATCAAATCCACAAATTTTATCCAAAAATCAAAATTTTATTCTTTTGCACTGAAGGCCATGTTTGGCTCGCTTAAAAACTGAAAATACAAAATAATCCTTTATTTTCCTTTAAAAAACGAGAAATTAAAGTTTCTAAACAGAACCCGTTACTTAAAATCATCAAAAGATTTCAAATTTTATAAAAAGAAATCCACAATTAAAAAGCTTAGTCACTTAAGGACATGTTTGGTTCTTTCCAGAATTTAAAATACAACAACAACAAACATTTTTCCTTCAAAACCGAGAAATTAAAAATTCTAAATGGAACCCATTATTCATTACATCTCTAAATTCAAATCCAATACAATTAAAAAGCAATTGTTAATCAAAATTGGACTTCCAATAATAAGCGAACCAAACACTGCCTTAGGACTCTCTCTAGAAAAAAATGACTTTCGCAACAGTACTAACTTTTGTGAGGGCTAATAAGTAGAGCCCAAGACGGTTGTGTTGAGAGACGGAGGAAAAAGGGAACGGTGGTGTTGTTTGAGCAGGTAATGCGTAGGTTTGAAGAAGTAAACAAGCTGAGACTTTGTGTGGTGTTAATGCAAACGCGTTTGTCATCGGCGGTGGCTGCGGTGGCGATGCCATTTTGGGTTTTCTCTCTCAGTGTTGAGAGATTTGGTGAAGTGAATGGTATACTGATGGAGATGGTTTTGGGGTTTTGGGATTTTTGGGGTTTCGAAAAGTACCGGCAAATAAATGTTTTAAAAAACTAAAAACAAGTTGGTTTTTTCTCTCAACAACATGAATATGATTTATTCTTTTAAAAAATAAAATTACGGGTATGATTTCAATTTGAGATGTTTTTATTTTTTGTATTTTTTTGTATTAAATAGCATTTGTTTTTTTAAAAAAAAATAGTTAACCTTTAAAAGTTTTCTATACAAGTTTTTGTGCATTCAATTTAGGAATATTTTTTTCAATTTGGTAAAAAAAATAAAATATATATTATAATTCAATAAAAAAATTTGCAATTCCTTATCGATAAATTGCGGGAGGACATCCATGAATGGACTTTTAGAACCCGTTTGGGTACGCGTTTGCGTTCACGTTTTTTTTAAAACACACTAATTAAGCGTTTGGTTATAGAATGTTAAAAAATAAAATATATGGGTCCCACCATTAAAATGTGGTAGAACCACAATTTTTTGGAAGCAGTAAAATACTGCTTTTTTTCAAGTTTCAACCTGTGGTTTGAACTTTCTAGAGATGAGTAAAGTGAAATTACCAAAACAAGAACAGTGTTCTCGTTCAGTTCTCATTTCTCTTCTCATTCTCATTCTTGTTCCTCCATTTGCATTGATTTCCCTTCCCATCAACTCTAATTACACACAACAACTTCATAGTAACCATTACTGCTGCAGAACCCAAAACATTAACTGATGACTCCTTCTATTTCTTCACCTTTAATTGTCATTTATTTCTTTTTAACAAAAGGAAATGAAGAACAACAACAACCCTTTGCAACAACCCCGAAACATGTATATAGATCGAGCATGATTCAAGCATCAAAGCTCAAGTTTCTAAAGGGTTAGTTCACTGGTTTGTTCTTATAGAAATTTTAAGTTACTTCTTGTTTATTCTATCAAAGATCTATTTATCCCCTTTTGTTTAATTATTTGTTTATATGCTAATTTTTCCTTCATTTCTCCTTATTAAAAGAAAAAGAAGACGACGAGCAACTTGTTTTCCTGCAAGCAACAACCCCACCACAGATATCAACATCGTGCTCCATTCAAACACCTCAACTGCAATTTCCAATGGGTACTATGCTTACTTCACTAGTCTCCTTAGCAATTTTAATTTTATTTTTGTTCATTGCAATGAAATTAACCTGTTTATGCCCTTTTTTAATTCACTTGTATTTAATTTTCGTCAACCATTATTGCTAGTTTTTCATTATCTTTATTCCCTCCATATATATGCAGTTATTTATGTGTTGATTATTTGTTGTTGTTATGTGCTGCTTATTATTACCAAATAAATGTAAATTAAAAACGAAAGTAATTTCAATTGCTAAAAGTAGAACATCCCCTGTTTTTATGTTAAAATCGTATTAGTTATGGCATTCTGCAGATTGCTAAAAAGATAAAAATACATTAAATTAATACACACACACACACAGAACATCCCCTACTTGCTATGTTAAACTGATATTATGTGCTGCTGATTTCTAAATAATAGTAAATTAAACAAATAATTTTAGTTGCTAATTAAAACATCCCCTGCTAATTAATAAAAAACAGTTTTAGGTTTATTCCACTATGGGTAGGTTTTTATGTTTTTTATCCTATCAAGTTTCTTAGTTCACACTTCATATCATTCAATCTTTTTTTGAATTAGTTCTTTAGTTTCTTTTTTTGCATCCCTTATCAGCATTAAAGTTGTTGTCAGCTATAGTGAATTGTGCTTTGAATTCTTTCTTGCATTGTCAACCAAGCTGCTATAGATAATTTCTTTATTTATATTTTCATTCATTGTCAACATTCAACCTTTTATTATTCTTTGGTTTACTTTTTGCTGCACAAGTAATTTACTGTTCTGTTACTATTGTATTATGGCTTTATCAGCATTCAATCTATTATTTATTAGTTAATTGTGTTGTTTAATTCTTCATTGTATTGTCAACCATAAGCGATGGATGGGTCTGACACACATGATAAAGCTTCTTGGAGCAAAGCAATGTTGCACACGTTTTGCGACATTTGCATTACAGCTATTGAGAGAGGCATGAGACCAAACACACATTTTGACAAAGCTGGATGGAAATTTGTTGTACAGTCTTTTAAAGATCAGACAGGTCTGTCATTATCAAAATCTCAGCTTAAAAACAAATGGGATGGGATTAAAAAGGACTGGAGGGTATGGAAAAAATTAATAATTGAAACTGGAATTGGTTAGTCTTCTGAACTTGGGACCATCTCAGCAACTGATGAATGGTGGCAATCAAAAATTCAAGTTAAGCTGCTAATTTGCAATGGCCTCATAATTTTTTTTTCATGTTGTATTATTTATTCATATATTAGCAATCCTAATTACATCTAGTTATCATTGCATAGGAAATGAGAGGAGCAAAGAAGTTTAGGCATGTCGGTATAGAGCCCTCGTTGTGTGCCAAATACGATATCATGTTTACTAACATAGTGGCCATGAGAGAATATGTTTGGACTCCCTCATAAGGACTTTTATCAGATGAAGATAATGTGGCAGCTGGAATGAGAAATACAACCAATGAGGATACTAACATGGAAGAAGGAAGTGGCGACTCTGAAGAGGATGCAATCCCTGATTTCAGTCGGGATGTGAGCAACATGGTTGGTGGAAGCAATGCCGCAAACAGTAGCAGCAACCCCAGCAGTTTAAAGAGAAAGAGTGCACATCAGACTACTCCTCAATTGCGAAAAACAAAAAGGGGAACCGGGATGGGAGCAGTACTAGTTGCACGTCTGGATAAAATTGTTGAGACTGTCTCCATGCCTAGAGGGATCACAACTCCTTGTAGAGATAAAAAAAGGTTGTAGCATTGAAGAGGTAATGGAAGAATTGCACTCTATTGATGGAGTTGCCTTTGGTAGTGCACTGCATATCTTTGCAACTAAATTCTTCTATGCGAGGAGCAAGAGGGAGATGTGGGCTGCAATGGGTTGTATTGACAGAAAAATGTCATGGCTAAAAATAATGTTTGACCAACACAAACAAACTTAGATGGACAAGGTCAGTTTTTAGCTCTTTACCCTATTCATGTATTTGTATTTATGTTGAATTCTATAGACAAGTAACATATTTAGTTGTCTGAAATATTTTCCATTGGTTTTGTAGACTTCCTATGCTGTAAATGTTGCTGAAATTAGAAGGAGTTGCCCATGTTTTGGTGTATTTTCGTGGCTAAGTTTTTGGAACCCATTATCATGTATGTTTTGTTATCTATGTATGACTGAATAGTGATGTTGGGTTGGAATTTCATGGATGTTAATTTTTGAATTATAGACCTTAATTATATGGATGCTTATCTTTTAATGTTACCTTAAATATGTGGATGCTTAAATTTGAATGTTATGTTTAGCTTGTTAAAGTACTCCTTTGCAGTTTGGTTACTTTGAAGTTGAATGGTTGGTGATAATAAGTTATGCAACCGAGACTACTGCTTGTTTGTATTATACTTTGAATGTTTGGTTAATTGCTCTTGAATGGTAGGTCTAGGTTGCTAATTTTGAAATTTTCAGTTGGTGTATGCCACATTTGAATGTTTGATATCTTGCTCTTGAATGGTAGCTTTTGAAAGTTAGGTAATAGTTTTTGGAATATTACTTTCATTCTTATACATCTGTATATAATACCAATAAGTATGGGAAGTTATTCAATTGCATACTATCAATTTTTTTGGGTAGAAACTGAATGTGTTAGTACTTGCAATAAAGAGTGGTTGTTTTTAATTGCTGGTGTTGCTGATTGCTGCTATTTATACATCTGTAATAGGTAAGTTCCATTTAATTCATTAGGTTGCAGCTGATTGGTTCATGTTATGACATTCATTAATAGTCAGTTTAATTTCTTAGGTTTTTAAATGTTTGTTTATGATGTGCATTGGGATAGTAAAGGGTAGAAAATAGTTAGCTTTGTTAGAGACATTTGTCATTATATATTCTTCTATATAATTTTATTATTCTCTTGTTCAATATGTTGAAGCAGCATTCTACAAGTAGAACCAGTTTGAATCTTGGGGGAATATGGCAAACATGATTATTATTTATTGAATCAGGTAATAGGGAAATGAAAATATTATAATTAATCATATGGCTCAATTTTGGAAATGCAATTTTTAGTGATGTATGATACAGTTGATATATTATAGTTAGCATAAGGAATGAAATAATGGAAGTAGGAAATGAAAAGGAAAAACAATTTATGTGTGACTTGTTCATTGTTTCTGGAATTTCAATTTTGATCTGTTGAAATTCTATTTTGTATGTTATGTATAGCAAATGGAATTATAAATTTTGATTAGAGATAATAGGCATTTTGAAAAAAAAATTCAATTTCACTTTCAAATGAGGTAAAGGATTGAATTGCAAATAAATATAGCCTTATAAAATTTACAAGCCGAGCAAAATTTCATTCAACGTGAAGAAAGTGAACAATAACACTTATTTACGAGAATGCATTGCCCTTTTTTTTATTTGTAACAAGTCATACAATATTTAATTATTCACAAAAAAAATTTGTATGGCATGATAGATATGGATTCGCACTCGTTTTCAACACTTTTTGATGGGGATTATGATGACATACTGAACAACGTTGCCGATTATGTTAATTATGGTAATTCTTCTGTAAACGATGGAGATTGCAGTGGTAATTATAGTTCTGATACTGATGACGACGATGATGATAATGATGATTCAGATGAAGAAGGTGAGTTGTTTTGGGAAAGGGAGTTCGATAATCAGAAATTGATTTTATGCACAGCAGGTGCCATAGTGTTATATTATAATACTTATATATATAAGGAGCCTTGTATGGATTCGTACAACACTGGAATGCAATGGTTGACAGAAATATTACATGGACATTGGATGCGTTGTGTAAACATGTTTAGGATGGATGCGACAACATTTCAGAGTTTGTGCTTTATACTTGAAAACCAATATGGGTTAAAGGCATCTAGACGAATGTGTGTTTTTGAAAAAGTTGGGATATTTCTTTATACAATAGCTTTGGGTGCTTCCAACAGGGAAGTTCAGGAGCGATTCCAACATTCAGGAGAAACAATTAGTAGGTACTTTAATGAGGTTCTTAGATCAGTTTGTTCGCTCGCTATAGATTTAATTCAACCTGCAGATCCCGGGTTCGTAAACACACCAAGGGAAATTATGAACAATCCGAGGTATATGCCACATTTCAAGGTAATGTCGTTAATCTTATTTGTTAATGGTGATTCGTATTTCATGAATTTGTGAAATTTAATTTTTTTGTCAGCTCAAATTGATGTTATTTTGCTAGTTTATCGTATATTAGAATTGTGTTGGAGCTATTGACGGTACACATGTTCGTGCATGCGTTTCTTTTGAAAAGCAAATCCCATTTATCGGCCGAAAAGGTGTGCCGACCCAGAATGTTATGGCTGCATGTAGCTTTGACATGCAATTCACATTTGTTTGGGCGGGTTGGGAAGGAAGTGCACATGATACACGAATTTTTCTCGAGGCAATTGACAATCCACGTATAAAATTTCCTAAGCTACCGGAAGGTAGTAATATGTGTATGTGTGTATGTATATGATAATTTTTGTATGTTTTTTTTTTTTGCAATTTTCAGTTTAAAACAATTATATGTTTTTCCAGGGAAATACTACTTGGTTGATTCAGGATATCCTAATAAATATGGATTTTTAGGTCCATATAGAGGTCAGAGATATCATTTGCAGGAATTTAGGAGGAGAGGACAACCACAAACTCGTGAAGAAATTTTCAACCGTATGCACTCTTCATTACGTTGTGTGATAGAACGAACATTTGGAGTTTGGAAAAAAAGATGGCGAATCCTACAAAATATGCTATCCTATAATTACAAGACACAAGTTCAAATTGTTGTCGCATCCATGGCAATTCATAATTACATTAGAAGAACTTCAATGCAAGATGTGGCATTTATGGAGTTCGATCGCCATCCTGATTTTGTGCCCGATGATTTTCTAATTGATGTAGCTCCATATTCACAGAGCCAAAAACACCAAAGGCCTTCGCGAATGGATTACATACGTGATGGGGTTGCTGTAAGTTTGATGACACAATTATAAATTATTGCTCTAATATGTTTAGGTCTATTTGCAAACATTTATTGGTTGTAATGTAACTTCATTAATATTATGCATTAAGTCCTTTTAAGTAATTATACAATAAAATGAAATTGAACCACAATTTCTAACCAAACACATTAAATCATTTTTTTCTCAACCTCAATTTTAACCATAATTTTAATCAAATATATATTTTTTCAGACCAATCTCAACTAAAAATACTTTTTATAAAACTATGTTTTTCAAACTACAACCACAACAGCTACCACAATATCAAACATATTCTTAGTCTCAATGACTTTGAACCTAAGCCTGTTTTTGGCTTTGTTTCTTCCAAACTATTCTCAAGTACGAACATTCTGTCAAATCCAAAAAATCATCCAACCGTTGTTGTACTCATGCCACCAAACTTCAATCATCTCATTCCTGAATATATGTCTCTGTTTTTTTAGACTGATTTTTTTTGTATTTTTATTTATTTTCTTACCAATAAAAAGCAAAGAGACGGATAAAATAACCTCAAAAAGGTAAAATTAAAAAACCATTAATCACCTTAATTGGAAAAAAGAAGAAGAAGATAAATTAGGTGTCCTTTTGCTTTCTTTTTTTACTATCAAAATTAACTGATATTTTATTTTTATATTGAGGCTTGGTTTGATGTGAGAATAAAAAACAAAAATAAAATAAAACATGAAAGCAGCAACAAGCTTTGGTGGTGGAGGCAAGGATGATTCTTCTGCTTCTGTTTCTACCAAGAACAATAAACCCAAATGTATGAAAACCGATCCTTCTTTTCTTCTATTTTTGAAATCCAATCGGTTGCAATTTATGATTTTTGTGGTTTTTTTATTGATTTGATTTGAATTATCTCTACCCTTTATGTTAAATCTTGGTGGTAATTGGGAAAGTCTCGATCTTTTTAATTTTCTTGAAATGGGTTTTTGTTTGTTTTTGTAAAGGTGATTGCTTTTGTTGGGTTCTTATTGAATTATAGAGGTTGTGATTGTGTTTTTTATTGGAAATCTGTGGATTAGTTTATTTTTTGGTAAACAATAAATGGTATTTATTAAAATGTTGGTTCTTTACATGTATATTTACCTGCATTGCATTTTTATCCGGCGCATCTGGTGCTTACACCTGTTGAAATGTTGCTGTTTCAATTTCCTTGTGGGTGCTGGACTTTGCAAAATCAAATCATGGCCTGTGATTCTGAGTGAAAATCTTTGGACTGATTTTTGTTTGTTCTTGGTGGATGCAGATTCTAGATTCACACAGCAAGAGCTTTCTGCGTGTAAACCTATTTTAACACCAGGATGGGTATGGCCTAGAATGTTTTACTGTTGATTTTTGTTGTCTTCTGCTGCTTTAGTTTATTACTGTTCTTTGTTTTCTAGCTACTCGTACTTTATTCTTGATTGTTTTCAGGTCATTTCATCATTCATTGTTATTGGAGTTGTGTTTATCCCTATAGGCCTTGCTTCCTTGTTTGCATCAGAACATGTATGTCTAATTTAATCTTGTTTGATTTCGTTGCTAATTGCCTTGTTTATTAGATGGCACTAACATGAAGCTCTGTTTGTTCCCATCTTGCAATATCTAGTTGGTGGAAATTGTGGAACGATATGACACAGATTGCATTCCTCCTGCTTATAGAAATAACAGCCTACATTACATACGAGCCAGCGAAACAAACAAGACGTGCACTAGAACCTTCAATGTTAGTCCACTTTCCTTACTTGATGTTCTTAAAGAAATTTGGATTCTCCCTTTTATTTCCATATTCCTTCTTTCAATCCAAGCTGTGTTTTAATTTTTTTTCAAGATGCCTTAACTAAAGACCTTTTCAGGTTCCAAAGCATATGAAAAGTCCTGTTTTCATCTATTACGAGCTTGATAACTATTACCAAAACCATCGCCGGTAAGTAGAAGATATATATTTATGGTTGTGTGCCTTTTATGTTTCTTCATAAGTTAATAACTTTTCTTATTCATTAAGGTATTAGATTTATAAATGTCATTTTCCTCCATGCAAGTTGTTGTTCTCTGAAAATCTGATGTTACACCTGCTAAATACGCTTATTTTGAGTTATTTTTGTAGCATGAAAGCTTCTCTTCTAAGGTTGCTTTGACCTGTAAGACCTTCAAAAGTGGTACAGGCTTATGACACCTTGAAAAGAGGGACTTAATCATATGATTATACTTATCCATCTAATCATGGCTATATGGTAAGCGTGTTGTTATTCTTGAGATCACCAAGGCGTTTAATTGAAGAACAACTACCTTCTGTGGTCTTCAATTTCTCCCATTCTTACCTTCTATGCTCCTATGGAGGCTTGACTTGTCAGAGGAATGTAAAAAAAATAGAGACAAAGCTTTTAAATGTGTGGATTGTCACATCAGATGATGGAATTGAGAGTTTGAAAGAGCAAAAGTGTTTCAATTGTTGCTCAACTTAGAAAACATAATAAAATACAAAAACGTAACTGATGTTGTCAGCTGTATGCTTTCTCCATATTTTCTTGTCTGTTCCTGAGCTTGCGCATGGAATTTACAAATTATTCATGCATTTCCTTTCCTTGCAAATTACACTTACGCTGTTTACGGGTTGTGGAATTTGAATTTAGCTCAGTTGATGATATGGTCTGCTAGTGATATTTTTAGCTGCTTGATTTTTCATTCCCCATTCTCTATAAAATTAGATGGTTTTCACTCCTCAATTTGGTCCTAGAAACTTGCAAGTATGCAAATCCTCATGGGAAATTTTCTTTAGAAAATCCCAGAACCCAGATTCACATTTGTCAGCATGGAAAGGGAAGTGGAAAAATCACTACTAAGGTCAAATTTGGAGTTGACAATTCAACTTCGGTTATGTAGGCTGCATTGCAAGTGATGTTGTGCTTATAAATAATTTGTTGTACATTCTAGCTATTTGTTCATTCTCATTTGAGAGTTTGGATTGATCTGTTGGTCTGCACCCATATTACCATTTCCATTTTTGTTAATATGCACAATATGTGAATTTGAATTAAAGTTTCACTGAGAGATTTTGAATCATTTTGGGTTTCCTTACTTTGCTATGATATGAACTTTTCCCCTGCAAGTTACTGATAAATTTTCATCAATTGTGGAAACCACATCGTGGTTGAATGTGCTCTTCACCTATGAGATTAATGTACTGCTTAGGCTGTTACCACCTTGTACTTGAGTTCTGATATCGTTTGACATGCTTCTGCTATTTGAAATGTGAAAAAATGGTTTACAGATATGTAAAAAGTCGAAGTAATACACAGTTGCGAGGCAAGGCCAGTGAAAGTGCCACAGATACCTGCAAACCAGAAGCAGTCACTTCGAATGGACAACCAGTTGTTCCCTGTGGCCTTGTTGCTTGGAGTTTGTTCAATGACACCTACAGGTTTTCAGTCAAAAACGAGGTTTTAGATGTTAGCAAAAAGAACATCGCTTGGAAAAGTGACCAGGAGAATAAATTTGGTTCTGATGTTTATCCTAAAAATTTCCAGAGTGGAAGCTTGATTGGGGGTGGAAAACTCAATTCAAGCATACCTGTACGTATCTCCCTCTTCTTCCGTGCTTGTTTATGTTTTGTCATATAGTTTGTTTATCCATTAAATATACTTGATTTTCCTCCTTTTTCTTGTTCCGCAAGTAGTTCTTTGCCTTCTCCCCCTTCTAAATCCATCTAGTTGCTGGTTTTTTTCATGAAATAGTTGAGTGAACAAGTAGATCTAATTGTATGGATGCGCACTGCAGCACTGCCAACGTTCAGAAAACTATATGGAAAGATAGAAAGGGACCTTCCTGCTAACACTACAATTACGGTTATCATTCAGAATAATTATAATACTTACAGTTTTGGAGGCAAAAAGAAGCTGGTTCTTTCAACCACGAGTTGTTTAGGTGGAAAAGATAATTTCTTGGGCAGTGCGTATCTATTTGTTGGTGGCTTGTGCTTGTTCTTGGCAGTGTGCTTCATACTTGTATATGTGTTAAGGCCAAGGTGAGAACGGTTCAAAAATCTTATTAATTGCTCGTTTTTCTCTGCTGTCAACAGTAAATCTTCCTATGCTTTGATGGAAATATTCATCTTTAGCTTTTGAGATGATTTATGCTTTGTGCAGGCCCATTGGCGATCCATCCTACTTATCTTGGAACAGGAATCCAGGAGGATAAGTGAATTAGAACTCTAAACCATGTTCTGTCAATTTACAAGTTTGTGATCCACCTTCTAGCCATGCTTCTGCACAAGCTTCATTTCTATCGCACCAAACCAACAGTTCCGTATAGGAATCTAGAGCTTTGCATTCTGATAAATGCAATGACATATTGTCATTAACTTATTATATGATGGGCTGATTTTCGTCGTATCATTTTGCCCTGTTGCTAGTGGTTTTTACAATGAGATGCGACACTGGTCAGATAAATCCCTTCCTTGCTAGCTTCCAAACCTTCTCTGCTTTCATAATAATCAAGTTAAATAACATTATTTGCTGAGATACAGAAAGACTATCAGAAGCATTTAATGGCTGATACAAATAGAATGAAGGACTTGATCAATGTCTTGTGTGCTGTTGTGATCAATGTCTTGTGTGCTGTTGTGGTCATATTGGCATCAATGCTTGCAATCCCTTCTCCTGCATATTGAGAAGAAAACTCGTGAGCGGTATTTCAATGTTTTACAGTGTAAGAAGAGGATGTTCCCTTAGCAATGTTCCTAGAGCATGTTTTTTAATAATTTCCAGTGGGAAACAGAGCTTCAATGAGATCTGCTAAAACCAGTCGAGGTTGGGAGACTGATCCATCATTCCAGTCTTCACATTTATGATTCATCAAGATGGGCAACAGAAGGCTCAGATGGAACAGTCAAAACATTTATTTTAATTATTTTTTTTTGAAGTTGCATGTTGATCTGTCAAGTTGACTCACATCAGATAAACTTTCATCCTATTTTATTTAAAACTTGTTCTAGGACAAAGGCTAAATCATATGTCTAGGGTCGAGTTTAATAACTCTGTAATCTTTAGCCATAAACAGAACTTACACGTAGAATTGCCTGCAATTCTTCCAAGCCATAAACAGAACTTACACGTAGAATTGCCTGCAATTCTTCCAAGCCATCAGGGTTTGAGGCGTTGCAGGTGATCTTATTGATAGAGTTGTCAGTATTTTCTCCACCTGCATCTTCCACATACCGCTTTCAAGTTATAATACATCCGATCCACATTAATTAAAGAATATGAAATGATATATTACTTTAGTGTTTAAATTTTTCTTCTGTTACCTTCAGCTTGTATGTTTCCTTTGCAAGAGACCATACGCCCTGAAAATTGTTGAGCCTAACATAACCAAAGAAACACTAGAACATTGAATTGAAGGAACACGAGCATATGCATGTTCATGTCTTATGCTAAACTAACATTATCATGCTGAATCCAAGCTACTATTGATTTGAAGTAATTCTCTTTGATCTGAAAAAAAGAAGAAGAAAATTTGCTCATCAAATTGAATTTAACAGAAGCAAATAGTTCTGCTGAATCAATAAATTAACTGTAATAATGTCTGAGATGTGATGTGGTTGATACTCACTGCATCATATACTTTGTTGGCTCTCGTCTCAAGATTTACAAAAGCTTCCAGGAACTTTATCTACTCTGCTCGCTGTCATTTGCACTAGATTAATTTTTTATCTTAAAGTGTTTCAAAAGATAGCTCTTGCCATCAACAACATTCTTATTATATATATATATTCCCAACATTCAATGTGGAGCTTGCAGCATTTGTTCCTTGAAGATATCCACAAACGGACAACACAGCCAAAACGTTAACAAGATATTTTGCACCCTAGAAGAAGAAGAAGAAGACATGGTGATTGGTGAATACTGAGAAGAAACAAAACCCTCTTTCTATCTACAACAGATCAGCTGATCTAGCTTGTAATAAAACAGCATTAAGATCGAACATTATTAATGTATTGTTGGCTATGTGTACAGGGAGAAAATTAAGGTTAATTTAGCAGCTTTTGGAAAGGCACGGGGCTTGTGGTTGCGGGGGACAAAGGAGGTGAAAATAGGTAGTGAATTATTTGATGACAAACTTGTCGGCATGTGCGGTTGCATGGATGGATTATACTTTTAGTCTCTCTTTTCTTAATTCAGCTACAACTTAGTCCTTCATGTTTCAAACCCTATCAGTTAATGAGTCCCTTGATTCTTGTTGATCGTTGTCTTTTTTAAAATATCAATTGGTTTTCACTTTGTGAATTTAAATTGGTAAATGGAACGTACCATTTACCAATTTAAATCAACAATATATGGTTTAATAAGATAAATGATCAACATGTCAAGGGACTAACTTGTTTATTATCAAACATGAAGGACTAAGTTATAATCATGCTAAAAACCTAGAGACTAAAGTATGTTTATTCATTAAACAACGAGAGTCGACGACAAAGTCGTCCTCTTGAAACAAATCAAAGAATGAAATGATCAAGTCTCTTTCTTTTTCTTTTAAAAGATAATGATATTTGTGTTTCATCATATCTCAAAATAAAAATAAAAAGAATAAAAGTTATATCTGAGGAAGAGATATTTTTTTTATTTCTATTCTTTTTATTTTATTTTTAATCTTGAAACATGTTACCAAGTATTATTAAGATCTATTTGTTTTTGTATTTTGAAAATATTTTTTTAAAAAATAATTTTTTATATTTTTTCTCAAAATTAATATTTTTTATATTTTTAAATTATTTTGATATGTAATGTCAAAAATAATTTTTAAAAATTAAAAAAATATTATTTTAATATATTTTTAAATAAAAAAATACTTTAAAAAATAACTGCAATCATATCCCTAAACACATTTTAAAAAATCAAGCACGTGATACACTAAAACCAAATTTCACATTAAAGGAATATTACATAAATATATATATATATAAAGAATATTACATAAGTATAAAAAAGAAAAGAAAAGTTAACATGCATTAGAATCAAACTTGACACCAAAAGACTATGAAAGTTTTATTAATCTAATTCAATTACAATTATTCGATTGCTATAAGTTTGAGTATAGAATACAAAGGTATATTTATCTATTAGAATACATTAGACTCCAACGTTAGAGATGGCAAAATTTTATGCCTTCCCAACTCAACAACTATAGTTAGATGGTAAATTAATGAAATCAAGTCAAGAGGCCATGGCGTGGTTCGCCAATATGGTACAAAGAGCAAAAGAAATGGTTAGAAACAGCCCTAGCTTCTTCAGAAACAAACCAAGTTTACTCCCTCCACCACCTCTTATGGTAACCAACAAATCTCTTTCCTTCTCATTGTCATCGCTCTTGATGATTAGTTTTCCTGCAGGCTTCTTCATTGGCTTGATATTTTTGCTAGGGCAAAAACCTTCCTCTTCTACACTTCCACTTCCCATGAAGTCATCCGTTAATTTCCCATTTCCCACATTTTCTCCCAAGTAAAAACAATGCATCAAGAGAATGACAATCATACAAACAACATTGCTTGCTAATCCACTGAAGTTTTCCTTTGCAGTAGTCTTGGATGGTTTTGTGGCATACCTTCGTGTATTTTCTGCTTTCTCAATGGAAAAGTTGGCGGCCACCACTGCTGGATTCAGGTAGATTTTAACAGTCTGCGATGGGACTAACTGGTGGAAGAATGTCTTGGTTGCTTGGCGAGTCGAGACGAAAAGTCCATGATTAACTTTGATCTCCTCCACAACTTCAAAGCTTGGTGAACTAGCCAGATCATCCACAATATTGCTCTCCTCTATGAAGTTATCATCATTAGGCTCATCATTGATGAATCCAAGTGAAAAGTCCTCACTGTCATTGAATCTCATGCAGTCACCAGGGTGTCCAATTTCTCCTGCAAATTAATCGATTTTCACATTAAGAAAGAAAAAAATAAAAATAAAAATAAATAATAAGGGAGGTGACTGAATTAAGACACGGAGATTAAAAAAAAAATACCTAGAACTCCATGCTCTTCTCTACTCCTGAAATTTGAAATATTTTCTATTGGAACAATCTTGGTTTCCTCCGTAAAACTCTGTACAATGAGGAAGGAGAAGGATTGAGTCTCATATTTCTTCAACTAGCATTGAAGAAGTTGCTAGGTTAATTTATGCAAAGATCAAAAGCTGCATACCTTCTCTAGTTCGTCATTTGACATTCCTACCCATCTCAGGTTCTCTATCATCCTCTCTGCCTTGAACGTTTCATCTAGGTCACTCATCTCTACAGACATGCTGCTTGTACTAGGGTCAACCCATGGTTTGTCAGCCCATCTTGTAGAGTTCATCATCATGTCACTGTACATATTATGTTGGACATCCTTCCCAGCCATGAAAGTGAAATCATGATCAGCAGTGGCATAGTTTCCACCCCAAGTATCTTGAAAACTAGATTGGTTTATCAATTCTTGAGATGCATGAGCTACCGAAAGAATTTCTTGCAAAATGTCTGTTTGATGAGTGCTTGTGCTTTCTGGCATGGAAGGTTGATGCATCATTTTTATGTCAGTAAATCCAAACTGAGGGAAATCCTGCACTTCCAATGGAGGCAATGTGAACCTATGCTGCAACCTTGCACACTCTAGCGCTATATCAACCTGCCAAAACAAATGAATGTAAGAAAAATTTAATTTCAATGTATACTATCAAATATTTAATTTTTGCAGATCATTTTAATCATCTTCTTTTTTTCGCGACGGTCTATCTACCGCAATTTTAAAGGTTTTGCTAGATTATGACTATCATAATCACAATAGATAATATTTTTTTACCTTTGATGGTGGGTAAGGAACTGTTGAATAGTTTGGAAATTGTGGAGCTGACATGCCAAATGATCCATCCATGGACTGTATCCATTTCCCATTTCTTGATTCACCGATGTTTAGAGGGGACCCAATGGCACGGTAGCTGGTTGAGCAAGTATCTACATTTCTATGCATAGTATAATTTGTACTCTCATATTCTTCACATCTTCCATGATTTTCAGAATATTGTTCAATGCTAGAAGAATGTTCACAAGGCATTTGATTTGTCGTGGAATCATAATGCTCTCCAATCTTTGGGATATTTGCAGTCCTTTTTGACACACAGCATAGTGCATATGCATCCTGCATAGGTTCACCCAGGAAAAGCTTAATTATAATCAAATCATATCACAAATTCATGCATTTAATTATCACAAAAACACACACAAACACACACACACACACGTGTGTGTGTGTGTGTGTGTGGATATATAAGGGTGATGAGAATATGAGTTTCACCTGCAAGCCAGTATTAATTTCGCATTCTCGCTCATCAAGGCGATATTCATGCATAACCCAACCTGTTCTAGCACCATGGGGAGCTCTTCCTCTATAGTAAACTAGGGTTTTCTTCATGCCAACAGCCCGCATTTGGGAGATCACTTTTCTATCCTTGCCAGTGGCCTTCCAATATCCAGCCTTAGTTGCTCGATTAGTCCTTGATCCATTCGGATACTTGCGGTCTCGAGGACTAAAGAAGTACCACTCTAGATCTTTGCTAGGCAACAATGATTTTCCTGCAATATGTTTCAATGGTTAAGCATGTTAATATAATATATAAATATGTTTTGTTATTTATTTTATTGATCATACAGGCATCTGGATGGAAGATTTATAAAGAAAAAGGTAGAAAAAACAACGACTTCAATCCACAGAGGAAACAAAGACTATAACGTATTCAATTGAAGGAATGCAAATAAAGCGTTGCCTGACACTTTAGCTGACAATGCAATCTGTTCCTTTCCTCAAGAGCTTTTTGACTTGGAAATCATTTGGTAAATGATACAACTTCATGTTCACAACAGGAACCCTAAAGATGGAGGGACCATATGTCTTGTAGTCCCAAGTACACTTCACTTCCTTTAATTATTGCCAGAAATATTCTTGTTATATTGTAGTATATATCTTATGTTATTATAAAGTTTAAGATTTTTGACCAATAAAGCATGATCAATGCACGTAAATGGATTTAAAAACATAATTGTAAGACAAGAAGAACAAGAACACCTAAAAGAGTATTTGAACAGCTCGTTCTCTGTCTTTCCATTGGAAAAGGCATTGCCGCTAGCTTAGCTTCTAGCATTCACCTTCTTCTTCTTTTTTCCATTAAAAATCCAACATATTTTGATGGAAGAAACATCAACAAATTTGTTTCTCATATTCTCCAAATAATTAGGTTTTTGTTTTTTTGATCCAACATGAGGATTAAGTTCAAGAATGCCTGCAAATTAAACTAGAATGCTGTCATCATGTGGCCTACCCTAGTAGCAGATATTAGGGCTTGAAGCAATCAAAAACCAATAAAGAGGTTACATGTCTAATTAATAGCCAAGGATGATTGATTAACCTAAATTAATCTGAATACAATTTTTAATTGTAATTGATATATATATACACTAGTTATGTGTTCCAAAACTATCATACAAGAAAGGGATAAAAAACACTGTATATATTTTTCTTTTTCTCTCAAATATTCTTTATCCCTTTGCTCACTCAATCTTTATTTGGTTCATGTAATATGGATCATGCAAGCAAGCTAATAAGGCACTAGAGAATTTTCTTTCTTTCTTTATGCACAAGTATGCAAGGAAAGGCGTGATGATCTATGGACTCCGGGCCGGGTTGAGATATTATCATACCTGGTAAATCCCATGGCTCACACTTGTAGAGATCAACTTCAGGGATGATCTCTAATTCAATCTTATGCGCATTGATCTTTCTTCTGAGGTAGTAAGCAACGAGTTCTTCGTCGGTAGGGTGGAAACGAAAGCCAGGAGGCAATGAAACAGGAGCCATCTCTTTAATTTAATTCCTTTGAGACTTCTTCTGATCTTGATCAAGAAATATCTATATGAAACTCAAAAAAGATAGCTAGCCTCCTTCTCAAAAAATGAGACCAGCCCTTATTGGAGAGTAATATAATCAGCAACTGTACAGCAATTCTCTGCACACAATCAAGTGTGAGACACAAAAGTTAGTCTTGTAATCTAATTTTGATTAAACAACTGAACAAAGAAATTTGAGGATCATTTAGATGTCATGATCATGAATGTATTTTAAAGTAGTATGCATGATCAAGACACAAATGGGAGGGAGGGGGGGAGGGAGAGATGTGACCTTGCAGAAGAAGCACCTAAGGCATGCAAGAGAAGGTAGGAAGCTAGCTTGAGAACAGAGATCACAAGTTGGATGGAGAGGGAAAATGAGGGAGCTGGTTGGGGTTTTGATATAAGAACAAAAAGAGGAGAAGAAAAAGCAAAAGGCGGTCCTGGTTTGCCACCGGCCCCAAGACTTGCACTTTTCCCTTTTCAATTATTTTTTTCAAATCAAATGATTCTTGCTTTCTTCCAATTCAAGCTAATTTACTCTCTCAATCTCTCTCCATTTATCCCATGCTTCATCCTTGTCCTTTCTCGGAATCTCAACTCCACATGACACAATACCTATATTTTGATGCATTGCCACCCTTTCCATGGTGGATTTAGCATCTACTGTTATACCTTAACTACAAACTGTCCTAGCCGAATTGCGGCTGCAATCCTTAACTGAAAATGTTGTCTGTTCCACATGCTTAATTCCTTGTGAAATTTCAAGTAATCTTACCTCTTTGAACCACTCCATGATCCAATGTGTTTCGTTAATTGTTAGAATCAGTTCTTGGATCAAAAAGGTTCTGCTAAAGTTTGTGATGTAAACTCCCTTGCAAAAAGAGAGATGATGGGTTTATTCATATCAAAATAACCATTTCAACTTAAAATTTTTAGTTATTAGATGAGTTTTAAAGTATAATTTATATTATTTTTTAAAATATTTCTTCAATTCAAAAATTTTTAAGCTTGAAGTTTGTATAGACTACACTATCTTATGTTAAAAAATAATAAGATTTAAACTTATAATTATTTAAAAAACAAGCTCTATCTCAATTTACAAATTTAAATTATTTCAATATATAATTTTATATTATTTTAAGAGATGCACATGTATGGAGTAATGGCCTTCTTCGGGATTGGGATTGATGTCCCGGTGCCGGCCAACTCCTGAGCTTTTCGTTGTAGTTAGGGAAGAGTGCTGGGTCTTGTCCGTCGAATTGTTTTTAACAGAATCACACAAACAATTACGAACTCGGAAAGACTTGCATATTTACGCATGCATGTATGTATAAAGATTGCTGTCGATATTTCAATTTTCAGGCGATCGAAGGAGATCCTCTACATGATTAGTCATAGTACTTACACAGATCATTCGCAGCAATCACAACGATGACTACAGATTGAAATAATTTGAGCGTGCTGCTCTATCTGTGATGATCACTCTCTTGAGTAACAAAGTTTTTCTTCTTTTCAGTGACTAAGGTGTTGAAAGAAAATTATTTTCAACAAAGAGTAATACGAAATAAAATAATTAACACGAATTCCACCGAAATATTTCTCTTGAACAAGTTTTTGAGACATATAGTTCATATGAATGGAAGTTTTTCAAGAACTAGCTTAAGGAAGCTGGAGTAGTTTTATGTAAAATGTTAATATTAATCCTGAAGAGTTTCTGGCTAACACAGCCCCGTTCACATTCTAAATCAGTGCAAAATCCATACCCACATGCGCGCATTGTGCACAGATTGAAAATCAAGAGTGGTAACAGGCCATAACCTAGCTTGTTGCCAAGCTACAGAAGAACTAAAGACGTACAGGTATCATATATAGGAACAGATAGGCTGGGTTCACAAGGGCTCATGTGGGTCCAGCTTTTGCCACGTGAAGGAAAGGTGATACGTGGCATAATGGGATCGCTTGTAAGCCTTCTTGAACTTTTTTTTTTTTTTTGCAAGTGATGACAAATGATTCTCTGCCATGCATGCTTTTCCTTTACATCAATCAATCTTTTGGTGCTTTTCCTCATTTTTGGAGTTTTATTCATGCTTTACCCATCGTGCTTGTCTTTTTCATTTGCTTGCATCTACTTTAACTTGGTTTTTTTTTTCTTTTAACAACCCAACAATATATATATATATATACACACACACCATGCATCATTGATTGTTTACAGGAAAATTTAGGATAAAGAAGATATTACACATTAATTAAAATTTTGATTTTAAAAATGTAAAATGTTCCATGCTTTGTTTTAAGATTTGCCCTTCTTTTGTATGAATTCAAGTTGGATTTTATATTAAATTGATAAAAATTAACTTGGGATTAGCTAATAATCTAATCGACTAGATAAAAACTCAAATAAAATTTGATTTAATTTTTAAAATGAAATTATTTTAATTTTGTTAAAAAAATTAATTTACATTAATATAAATTGATCCACTAGTAATTCAAAGCTTAGATTAAACCAGATCTTAAAATTATAGTAAAAAATTTTCATTTCATTTCTTTTCTTTTCTTAGTCAAGGACATGAAACGTGTGTGGATTACTCAAAGGAGTGTGTGTGTGTGTGTTGTCAAAGCCGTACGTTTCAATGAGTTAATTATACATGGGATAGCTCTTCCATCGAAGTTGGATAAAGAAAAGAAAACCCATATCCAAGCTCAATCTTCATGTACTTGATTGTTTTACACAATCTTCTTTCGAGATAGGCTGGCTAGTTGCTATAATAAATTGGATTTGGAGATCTTTTAATAATGAAACTATCATTGGGTGGCAAGAAATGTTGGATTCTTCCAATGAAAAAGGCACGTTCTAACACATTCAAACCAATATAGAATGATTAGAGAGGAGTTTGCCATGATGCATTATTCTGTTCCTCAAGAAGAAGAAATGTTGAATATAAATCATTATTTTTTTCATAATTAACTCAGAATAATTTAAATACTAATTCACTAATAGATTATTGCTATTGCCGAAAGAGAAACCTCACTATGTTCTCTTTATAGTCTTCAGTCTCTCTCACGGACGTCATAGCTAGACTTACATTAATCAAAAGCCCGAAAGTAGAAAGGAAAAGAGAAATTATTTAGTATATTAAAAGATGTGTTTGTTTCCTACGTGGGAAAGCAATCTCTAGTTTCTTCGACTAGAGAGAAAAATAAATAAATGAACATTTTGATTCAACTAACATTCTTGTCTATTTAAACACTAGTTTTTGACACTAGTTTTTGATACACCGTGGATTAGGTAATATTTATAATCTATAAAAATATAAAAAAAAATTAAAAATTTAATATATAATGGATAAAACTTTTAAAATATTAAAATGGTGACACATTAGATGATATTTAAAAAAACATTATGATAAAAATATATTGGATCGATTTGAGCCAACAATATTTAACATATAAAACTTGTAATTTGGGGCATAAACCCGCAATAACCTTATGAAATCTAAATTAAAATAAATTAAAAAGTTTAATTCTAATTAATCAAGAAAAAAATAAGCAACAAATCTAAAAAAACAATTTGAGCAAACATAAAATGATGACTTATGCTATAATCTCAAACCAAATTGTTTCTAGCATAAAAAAAATGCTCATGTTATGCTAATGTTTTTAAAGAGAAAAGAAAAACTTAAAACTCGGTCATTAACTTTGGATCCATTAAGACGAGTTAATTTACTAATACGGTTTAAAAAATTAATAAAGTATAATAAATAAAAATATATTATCTTTAAAATTAATGAAAAATTATATAGAAATAAAAAAATAAAGCTCAATCTTTAAATTAAATAAATTGTGCATGGTAAAAGGAAATTTTAAAAACACCTAGACCAAAGTTATTTTTTTATTTTTTTTAAGATAATCAAATAATTTCATCATTCAAAAATTTGCAAGAAAACCAAGATATTTCCAAACAATTCTAGAATAACAAATAAACTTCATGTGAAAATAACATACCCTCTAATATCAGTCCATTGATTTTTTTAGTGAATGGTAAAAATATATTATCATTTTACAATCCATAATAAAACACAATATATGTACATTGTTTTAGATTTTTATAATTTAAACTATTCTAATGGAGTGATTTTTCAAGTATATCATATTAGATAGTATTAGCTTAATCATTATTTCAAACAAGTTCTTAATCACTGTGTCAATAAAACAAGAACACTTAGCATTTGATTATTATATCTTAGAAAAGAAAAGACAAAAACAATTAGAATAGAAATATATTTAATTGAAAAGACAAGAAAATAAAATAAATATGTTTTATAATAATTTTACAGTAAATTTATATATTTTCAAACAAGAAGTATAAAAAAAAATGTTTCACTGTCCCTATTATTTTTTTTATTTTATTTTTTGCCTTGAGATAAAAGCCAAGCTTGCATCAACATCCATGTAGAAATGTGAGAGCAGCTTTTTTATCGATTGACTGTACAGAGGAGGGCATGGCATGCATAGGCAAAAGACTTAAAGACTACATGAAGCTTTAACGACATGAAACTTTTCCCATCTCGTGCAAAAAACTTCATCTTCAGAATTTGGATCATTCACCTCAAGTTGCTGAGATACATAGATGAGTTATTTGCTGAATAACTTGACAACATACCTAATCCGGGATCTGTACAGAGCTTACAGAGAAGGATCCTAAGAGAAATTATACAATTCGCTGCCCCTTTCGGTGTGAGAATCAATATATAGCAACCTACTGTAAAAAGCAAGTAAAAATCAGCTCTTTTCCTGATTTTGATTTGATTTGTTGTATCCTTCAATGCCATAGTGCTGGTATACCATAGCTTCATTCTCCTCCCACCATCGTCCCGCTTCTTTCTCCGCAAATCGTTTACGGCTGCAAAATATACATCAAGTATATATGTATGATCAGTTAACAGATATTTGAATCCTGTATTTAACAGATTCCAGCGCTTATTTTTAACATGAAAAACAAATTACCTGAACCTGACTCGCTTTAGACCCTTTTCTCCGCCTGGCGAAACTGTAAATGTAATGTATACACCAGGTTCGTACTGTTCTACCCATTCGAGCTTTGACGCGTTAGTTCCCTTCCGTCGAGGATCTGTTGTCGTGTCATGTAAATCTTCCCCTGGCATGCTGTTTTCATGGCACAACTCTCTCCCATCCAAGGACTTTAGCGAATTGGAAAACACAATAGGAGAGCTAGATAAACTATCTACGTTGCAGTCTTTTGGCAATCTAACTCGAAGAGGTGAACGAGTAGAAGCAAACACAGTAGGGGTATCTGCGTAGTCAGGTCTGGTCTGAGGCTGATACGGATCCCCTCCGTCTTCTGCTCCATTCCTAACTGAGCCTTTGTCGGACATTGCATGAAGCTGAAAGAACAAGTATTAACGATTTGTTAGTT